ACCCTCAGCAGAGGTAATCAATGAAACCAATCGTTTGTTCTTCAAAAAGATCAACAAAGCCAGTCATCAGCAAAGCTTACTACACAGGCACGAGGGCTTGAGTAAGATCCTCCGGCACCCGTGTGACACGCCTGATCTCTAAGATAGGCCAGCAGACAGGAGGCCATACTGTCTAGCTGACTGACGAACAGGAACTTCAGCAAGAGATGTTGTCTCAAAAGTTCAGACGGATTTGAGCTAGAGGGATGGTGCAGCAGTTACTAGCACTGGCCGGCTGCTCCGGAAGAGGACAAGGGTTGGGTTGCCAGTACGCACACAGCGGCTAACAACCATTGGTTACTCCAGTTCCTGGGGATCCAATGCCCTCTCTGACTCTTACAGGCCCTGCTTGTATGTGGTTCACAGACAAGACACTCACACACATAAAATAAAGATTAAAACAAAAGAAAGATGGCTAGGAGTGGTGGCACCCTCCTTTAATTCCATCACTCAGGAGGCTGAGGCCGGTGGATCTCTTTCAGTTCAAGGCCGGCCTGGCTACATAGCAAGTGTCAGCTGGCTCTGAAGTCCCTACATCATAATCATGCTATATATACACGGTGTGTGTGCGCGTGTGCGAATATGAACGTGCGTGTGCCCCTGCCTGCCTGCCTGTCTGTGTGTCTCCAGACAGGTTGGGAAGTGGGGCAAAGACCCTATTATTTCCTAAGAAATAGCCTGACTGGCTGCAATCAGCTCTTGCCATCTACGGACATAGTACGATGAGGCATTCGCCCTTTACCAGCATGGTCTACTGAGTCGGCAACTTGGCTACTGCGGCTGGCAAATCCCCGGCTGCTTGTTTACCAGAGTATTTCCTCTTAGATCAGATTGTAGTTGTTTACACATCAAGCTAGGGTTCAGTTCTCTGTGCCTGGAGCCTGCTTCGGGCCAAACCTAAATCAATTCTGTAGACAATATTAGACTGAACTTACCTGTTTGACAATATATTTTACCACAGTTTTTTTTTTTCTTTTTTAAATTTAAAAACAGAGTCTCAGTATGTAGTCCTGGTAGGTCCAGAATTGGCCTCGTAGACCAGGCTAGGCTCTAAGTTAGATATTCCCCTGACTCTGCCTCCCGACAGCTGGGACCCAGCATACCCAGCAGAGCACAATTCCTCTGGGAAGGGAGTTGTCAAGCAAAGCCACTTCACAGTTCTTTTCTCATTCAGAGGGCCCCAACCCTGAAATCACTTAAGACAGAGGAGATAGGCTTTTCAAAGACTGATTCTGCTTCCCCATATAAACAGGGAAACACAAAGTTTTTTACTTTTCTTCTTCCCTCCAAAAACCAGAACCAGAGCTGTAGAACTAGCCCCAGTGTGGAGGGGAAGCTGGTCCAGGCTTGTCATCCCTTCTTTATCCACATGTCACAGAGCATCCGTGGTCCAGGCTCTCTCCCAACACCCAAGCGCTAGCAGCTGCCCACTTGGGCGGTAACCTGCTGGGGAAGGCCTTCTGGGTCACCCACTGGCCCAGGATGAGCCAGGGGTCCTGGGATATGGTGTCTGTAAGCTGTGAGTTGGGCCTCTGCTCTGGCTCTTGTGGATTCTTTCTCTTCCAGTGCCTGGTAAACAATTAGCCCAAGGGAACAGCTAGGGAATAAATGAAGTCACCGCTGGGGACTGTGGTTGAGAGTGTGCTGGTGGGGAGAGATCTGTGAATTGCGTTAAGTTGTGGCTGTGATCTGCTTGTCTGAGACACGTAAATACATAATGCCCATCCTAAGATCATGTTTTTCTTTGACTATGGCATCTCCCTTCAGAAGTCAGCATTTTATAGACTTGGAAAGTAAGAAAAATTAAGAAGGGAAAATTCATCTGTTATCCCTCATAAATAACCCATGACTAATATTTTGGCATGACTCTCTTCATACTTTTTAACATCTATTTTAATGTCTTTGGGTCCATATGTCTATAATGCCATCATTCCGTTGTTTCATGATATGAGCATTTTCCTACATCATTAAAAAAGTTGGTTTCAAAACTGTTTCTACAATCTGCATATTCCACATGTGACTAGTTCCTCATTTAATCATTCTACATCGAAATTGTTATTCACTCACTTATTCACCCGTTTGTATTGTTATGACCAAAGATGAAGGTCTGAACATTTTAAAGTCTAACTCTGGTCTTCGTTCTGTTCTTCAGAGTCTATCTTTAGGACAGATTTCAGGAAATGGACATTCAGGAACCCCGGAGCTAAGCATTTTTGTCTTTCTTGCAAGTTAATCTGTGTGGACCTGAAGAGCTAAGCATTTTTGTCTTACTTGCAAGTTAATCTGTGTACACCTGAGGTTATTAAGTTCTGTGTGGAAGGTCAAGGATGTGCCTGTGAAACCAGAATCCTCAGGCATGAATGGAAGACCCAGGTCTGATATTTCTCTCCCAAACTGGACTGTCAACATCACAGGGTCATTTGATTCTAGTAAATCATTCCTGGTTGAGAAAGTCACACAAACACATTTTTCAGTTGAGTTTTTTCAGGAAGCCATTCCAGTACTCAGCAGAGCCTGATGCTTGCAGATTGCAGGAAGTGTGGATACCTTGATTGCCAGCCACTGTTGAGTGACCTTTGTGATAAAAGTGTACCCCTGGCAGACTACAACAGGCTCAGAATGCCAAAACTAGATCACGAATGTGCTCAGTAGCCCTCGTGGTACCATCACAGCTGGCTGAGCAAACTAGAATATAATAATATGGAGAAGTATCAAAGGTGGTCAAAGAAGCCGTGACCATACCCTTGGCCCGTTTCCTCTTCAATTTCTATCCAACATCACAAAAAAAAAAAAAAAAAAAAAAAAAAAAAAAAGCCAGTCCTTTCATGGACTTGGCATGTTGGAGATGTCACATGCCTCAGGTGGACATTCTACGTGATGCTCTATGCCCTGTATCCCACAAAATAGAACCGTCTGAGTGGGAGCCAAGAATAACTGACTACTTTGGAGGCGTTTAGGGCCATGCTCTGTACAAGGTGAACTCTGGTAGTCTCTGATTGGCAGCAATCTTTCCCAGAATGTCCAGCTCACACCAGTGGATGTGTTGCCATGCCCAACACAATGATAAGGAAGATCCAGGTCATGTGGACGCCGTCAACAGCCTTATTCCAGCGGGCTCAAAGAAAAACATGTTCTTAGAATGGACATTATGACTTTATGTGTCTCAGACAAAGCAGATCACAGCCAGTTTACCCAACTCACAGGTCCAAAGAGAGGAGCCTTTCAACATCAGTCAAGGGGCTAGAGATGGCTCAGTGGTTAAAGAGCACGGACCGCTCTTCCACAGGACCCGTTTGATTCCCAGCACTCACACGGCAGCTCACAATGGTCTCTAACTCCAGTTCCAGGAAACTTGCCACTCTCTTCTAGCCTCCGGTCAGCAAGCACACAAGCGGTGCACAGAAACCCATTCAGGCAGAATACCCATGTATATAAAATCGAAAAGAAAAAATTATAATAAATAAAATAATTGTAAGAAATAATATATACCAGGGGAGGTTTTCTAAGTGGCAGACCAAACTGGGCCACGGGCAACAGCCCAAGATTTAGCCCAAGGGGTAAATGAGGTCAACGAAGTGGAATGCTATGTCCAGGGCTATTCAACAGGTTCTGCTTACAGGGCAGTGACTCATCCACTTTCTGTTTGGTGTGGCTGCTTCTGCGTAAACAGCCATTGCTGGCAGACACTGCCACAATTTCAGTTCCATAAACCCGTAAACCAGCAGAAACTGTGTTAAGGGCCCCCATGGAGCCCGTGGCTTTAAGTATGGCTGTGTTCTCCTCAAAAGGCTAGCTGCCAATTTTCTTCATGTAAAGCTGAGCTACCACCTGGGCCAGGGTAGCTATATGTTTGAATAGACTGACTTCATTTACTACCATGCCTCTTAAGGCTGGCCTTTGAACTCTCTCCTCAGCCCCAGTGCTGGGATTAACGGCAGGTGCCACCATATGCAGAGGACTCGGGTTCTGCTCCCTATGTCCACATGGTGGCTCACAACCAGCTGTAACTCCAGTTCCAGAGGGTCCGAAGCCCACTTTTGCTCTCTTTAGGCATGGCATGCACATGGTGCAGACACACATGCAGGCAGAATCCCTACATACATAAAATTAAAATAAATCCTTTTTTTTTTTTTTTTTTAAGAGACATAAAGTGAGTCAGATTTGAAGGATGAACAGCTGGTCACTGCGTCAGGGACAGTGATCCCCAAATGCTGAGGAACTTCTAGCTCCCCTGTCAGAAGCTCCAATCAGCAAAGTTAGCAAGCTAACAGCTTTCTACAGGGAGGGTTAGGGTTGCTGGAACCTCGGGTAGAGTGAGCCACAGACTGCTGGACCCTTTCAGTACATTCTGCTGTCTGAACATTGCTCAAAGGGTGCTGATTTGTAGAGAAGCCCATAGACGGGATCCAACAGGACAGTGAGGCACTGGAGTTCAGAAGGGTAGAGGGTCTACTTTAGGTGGAGGGCGAGGATAGAGACTACAGCTTCTCTTTGTCTGCTGGAAGGAACTAGAATGGTGAATCTCGTACTCAGCCTGGAAAAACTGAATCGAATCAGAGGATATCAGTCATGTCCTGGTGGAGGTGTCATAACATGTCAAATAAAAGCCTTCTGGACCTGTCATCTGGCTGTGGGCTGGGGCACAGGAAACAAAAAGGCTGGAGTCCTCCCACTGAGCCCCAGCACCCTTCCTATAGATGGGCCATCTCTCTCAACTCAGTCAAATGTCCTATCTTCTTCAAGAGCCTGTCTTGAGTTCTGAAACCCGTAGGTGCTGTCTATCCTAGCCTTGTCCAATGTCAAGGACTGGGTTGACGCCTTGAAGGCAGAAAATGAAATTCCAGTCCCAGCAAAACTAGATATAGCATTCCAAGAACCTGGTTCCCAGCAGTCCCAAAACGATTTAGGGAGACAGGAATTCTGCAAACCAACACAGCTTCCCAATGGCCAGACAAAGAGGGTTAGCACTGTACAGTGAGAATATTTATTGAGAATGGCTCATTTCAAACAAAATATATTTATGTATAAAATCCTCTGCTATGCAAAAGATCCCTTTCATCCTCCTGTGGCGCGAGTGAACAAAACCATCTCCAGTCCCCAGGAGGCCTCAGAGCCCACACTGGGCTGCACGAGAAGCTGAAAAGTGGTGGGTGTCACACACTGTGGGACTTTCTGATGATAAGGCTTTCTCTAGCCGGTTCTCATGATTAGTGCAATGTAACACAGTGTGCCGTGTGCCCTGCCTGTGACCCTCCTTGGACAAGCAGATCTTGAAGACAGCAGCTTTCTTGCTATTCTTACAGATAAGAGGACTTGATAATTCGTGACTTGCCCTGAGAAGCCTTTACCTGGGTCCAGGGACTACATATTTTTGAGATGTCCTCAGGGGGAAGATGACGTCCTCCTATGGAGGCCACCTCCCATGAGCACCTATGGGCATGTGTGCCATGCCTCACCCATCCACCTGTTGTGAAGGCTTCATCTCCTCCTACAGTCAGTCCTACCTGAAGCTCCTCTGAGGACACTCCTACCCATAGCTGCTTTGTGGGACTTCTGAGCTTGGAGCCAGAGTTCCTTGAGGCCCTGGGCCACCCAGCATTAAGGCAATGGAAATGAGACCACACTGAAACCAATACTAGTCTCTGAAACCCAGAGTGGCTGCCTAGCTGACAGCACCTCCTTCAGCCCAAGAATTCATCTAATATTGAAGAATATTATGGGAGAGTGGTCTGACTGCCCTTGTAAACACAGATCACCTCTGTCCCTCAACTACCACGGGGGGCACCTAGTGGTAGGGGGAGCAGCTACTGCCACACCATGCCTTGAGCACTGAAAGACCAAGGCCTGTGGAGTACAGTGATGGTGGGAGGCTGTTGGGGTATCCTTTGTTCTTCACCAGAGAGCCCATGAGGAGTGGGCTCCCTAGTCCCTATAGGAAGAGCCTATTCACTTGTCTTTGGTGCAGCTTCACCATGCAGACAGCTGGCGAGGCCAGGCCAGCCATCTTATTAAGAAAGGACTTGCTCTGGCCTATCTGCCCTATGTAAAGAAGGGTTAGTGGTTTCAAAGTACCTGTATCTATTATTGTCTTACTCCCCACACAGTGGAAACTGAGGTCTCAATAAAACAATACCCTTGCTATCAAGACCAAAAAGACAAGTTAACTAGCTCTATTTGATGCTATCTGCTGTGCTGTGTGGTACTGACATTGCCTTTCTTCCAGACTGAAGAGACCCAGTGTTCTGTGCAAATGCTCCTGGTGTGAACGCAAGGATGGATGGGAAGCTGCCTGCAGCCTCAGGAGCACAGACCCTTTAGCACCCATCCTCAAAAGACTCCCAGATTTAGAGGGCAGATACTGCTGTGGGAAGTCAAGCTGGTGTCAAGAGGCCTTGTGGGTGCAGGGGCTCTCTGGAGCCTCTTGTCAACTCCTTGTTCCTAGAACATCCTCTTCTGCTGTCACCCATTCGGCCCTGCACACTCCTAAAGGCTTTCCACTCTATAGGAGGGTACCTAGAAGCTAAGAAGGCATCAGCATCCCAGGGGTCAGAGAGCCTCAGAATGGCTGAGGTATGCATATGCTGTACGATAACAAGGCCTTGTAACCAGTCCCAGAGACCAGAGTCCACAGGAGGCAGGAGAGGGCAATGACACCACCCACTATAGGGCTTGGAGTGGCCCAGAGCCACAGGCCTGGCTTTGGATGTGCTCATCCCACACATGCTTCTCTCCCCTTGTCTTGGGAGTAGCTGGAGTCAGATCTGGGGTCTTCCTCTGTGCACAGCTGGAGTCGGACTCAGGGTCTTGGGAGACACTCCCCCTCGATGCTCTTGGGTTGTCTCCAGCAACTACAGGGTGTTAAGGGTAAGTGGCATGATGACACTGGTGGACAAAGCAGTCAGAGTTCCTAAAGTCTTCGTCAAACAGGCTGAGACTACAGTTCTGAAGCCCAGCCCCAGCAGCCCTGGGTGTGGTCATCCTGAGTGGGCCTGACTGGGGAAGGACACAGGGTCTGAGGACCTGCCGTGCCCAGCTCCTGCCGTCAGCTGTCCAGGTAGACAAAGAGGATGTCCTCATCTGTGCCATAGCTGGTTCTGGCCTCCTCAAAGTTGCTGATGCTGGTGCTGCACATTCCTGCTGGGGGTGGGGAAGACCGGGGTCAGGTCAACGGGCGGGTTAGATACCCACCCTGCCGGTACCCAGGTTGACCGGATGGGCTCTATGCTCTACCTGCCTCGCCACCTCTCAGCATAAGCCTTCCGCCCCTAGGAAACCTTTCCTGTGCACTCTGGCCTTTATGAGTTAATTCTTTCTTTTGACTCCTTTCCAGTTTAGCAGATAGAGAAAGGGAGTCCAAATGGGAAGAAAAGAATGTTACATATGTTCAGGCCACACAGATCAGAGAAAGAAGCCCTTCTCCACACCATGATGTAAGGATGGTGAACAGTCTGGCCAGACTTGCTAGCTCGTGTTCTGGCTATCCCATGAAGTCCAAGAGTGGGGACTACAGCCTGTGGAAGAGAACTTATCAAAGTGGGGACCTGAGCAGTGGGGTGAAGCTGGCAGTGTGGGAGGAGAGGTGGCTGGTGGCCAGGACAGCAGCAGGCTTGTTTGTGACCCAATAGGCAAGGCCTGATGACAGAATCCCAGGAAAAGGGGCTCTGGAGACAGACATCAGCCATAGCAGCTTGAAAGGGCGGAAGTCGTGAGGTCAAGGCACAGGGGAAAGCAACACAGCCCACCCTGGCCCTCGGGCACCCAGCACTCACGGTCAGCATAGGCTGGGTTGTTGTAGAAGATGCACCCAGTAGCCCTGTTGTAGCCACGCAGAACGATGAAGTGGCCCTGGTAGTCGGGGCTGCGGCAGAAACAGCGGTGGCCACTGGGGGTGAAGCAGCAGTACTTGACAGGGCTGGAGCACAGGTCACAGTGCAGCACCCCTGAGTTCACCAACACGATAGCCACGTGGCCCTGCGCCAGGTGTGCCTGGATGTCCTGCACGCTCACTGTGCTGTGGGAAGCAGGGAGGTCAACCAGTGCCAGAGGGCTCTTGTCTCCACCTCCCAGACTGATGTCCCCCAGTTCACACCCCCTCCTCAGTGTTACGATACGTAAGGACTTGGCTTGTCTGCCCTCTGCCCTGAGCTCCCTGCAAGTGGCAATGTCCTGGCTTGTCACTGTGACCCAGGATAGAGGGGTGGGAAGGCTTACCATTTCTCCACTCGCACCTTGCAGGCCTTGGCTTGTGCAAACAGCTTGTTTACCCGGGTCTCCTCTGTGTCAAAGTGCTTCCTGTAGAAGGACTGACAGAGAAGGGCAGACTGTAGTCACCCATCCTGCATACACACACTCCACTCAAATAAAACAAAGAGACTGTTACAGAAGTAGGGGTAAGAGGGTGCGAGAGCCCTACTTTGGGCAAGCAGCTTTATCAGCATGCCCAGGAAGAAAGCTGTTTCTGGCCCTAGCTGGAGAGTGGACAGGACCACACAGGGGAATGAAGAGGATGCTCAAGAGATGAGAAAGTAGAAGTCTTGGAGCAGCTTTCTGAGGAGGATGGGTCAGGCCATTCTCTGGTAGATGTGAGTAGTAGCCTAAAGCAAGGGAGCACCGAGGACAAGGCTGCCCTCCTACCCCCTGCCAGGACAGCTCAGTCACAGCTCAGTGTAGCCAAGTGTGATTCACAGAACATATTCTGCTTGGTGCTCATGTGACCAGAGCCCCAGGAGGCAGGCCAAAGACATTCTGTTCTCAGGTCCCCTTTTCTGTCTTAAGATTTAGTAGCCTTCTTTACCTGGCATGGAAGGTTCAAAGAAGAATTAGGCTAACTGCCACTGGTCACCATGTGACAGTCCCTCTGCCAAGGAGGCCAGCAGAGACTACTCTGCCAAGCCTTGGCGCCTGGGCCAAGATCGCCTCAAGGGCAGGTAAGACCGGCTCTGGCTTTGCAAAGGGACGGAACTCACTGGTGTGTTGGCACAACCACCTACGATGGCTTGATTTTTCAAGAGAGGGAAAAAAGAGAACGACAGACAAGCAGACAAGACAGCCAATACATGCTTTCTTCCAGGATACCAATTACCTGGCGAGAAGAAAGAAAACAAGCCAATGATAGTCATGTGAGATCAGTGTACTCTGCAGCCTTGAACCTGTCCTGTGTTACAGTGGAGACAGATACAGAAAGGCAGACAGTCCAGGACTCAATGTGGAGAAGCCCCATACAGGCATGACCTCAAGGGCGTGTGTCTGTAGTGTCTCTGCCACTACCACCGGTCGCTGTACACCCGTGCATTTACTCAAGTGTCTAGGCTTTGACCATCCTCTCCTGTGGAGTGTGAAAACTGGGTGAGTGTGAGAGTTGGGTGAGTATGAGAAGTGGGTGGCCTAGGCCTCTGGTTTTCTGTGTGCAGAAGGCCCTCCCAGTGGGGAGCTGCCCACCTGGTTCTTGTAACCCTTGTCAACACCCAGAGTCTGGGTACAGAAGCGGTGTCTCACACCAAAGTGGCGCATCAGGTAGGCCAGGTCGATGGTCCAGATGCTCCTGGTCAGCTGCAGCTCCTGCAGGGCATTTTCAAACTCCCCGTCGTCTAGCTGGCCCAGGTACCTGAGGGCAAGAGGGCAAAGAAATTAGCTTGTTCTTGGAGCAAAGCTAGACCAAGTCACCCTCCAATCTGAGTGCCACAGCCGCTACTGGCACTTTTGATCCTGTATCATGAAACCTCCGTGGCATGCCCACCTGGTACCTGAGTACAACCTAAGGCTTTCAGGGCTCAGGCACCTGGCACACTGAGCCCCAGAGTGAAGGGCCTGGATTTTGGTTCTTGCATCTCTTATGGACTACGTGAACTTGGAAGTTCACATGAAGTTGCTGCTCTCCGGCCTCAGTGACTGCATATCTAAGATGAAGTGCTTGGATCACAGTAGTTTTCAAAATTGCAGGCACTAAACATTTTGTCAAACTCTATCTTTCCCAGAATTTTTGTCTGTAAGGTAGATAAAGGAGAACTGATCTGGGCCTCCTGTTGCCCTTGGTGATGGTAACAGTCCTTTTCGCCTCAGACTACCAGATTCTTATGTTTATGTAGCATTCTGCTATCGAAGGGCTGGAAGGTGAACCAGCCACCACCTCAACACCTGGGACTTCCCTGATCATCCCAAGCATCACCTGAGCCAACACTTGAGCAGCCTGATCCACCCTTGGTTCATGTTTAAGATATGACAGGGCCGAAATGGAAGCTGGGCTCCTGGCACGGTTCAAACAAAGCCAACCCATACAGATGCTGGATCTCCTCCAGGCTGCTTCCCATTTCGCCCCTGGGCCACAGCAGGGGTAGACACTCACCGAAGCACCATCCTGGAGCAGGCCAGGCCGCAGTCCCAGTGGTACAGCTGCTGGATGATGGGCACAGGCAGCTGCACAAAGTCCCCTGCAAAGAAGCAAGGGCGAGGAGTCAGGGTCTCCCCACGGTGCCCGCCAGCAGCCTCCCCACTGGAGACACCACCACAACCGCTGCTGAACCTCCACAGGCTCTCAGGGCCCGGCCCACAGCCACTGCTCTTACACCACCAGCACTAAAGCCAGCTAGCCCTACTCAAAATCCTCCAGTGTGTTGGTCCCCACTTTCAGACAAAGCAGTGTTAGCTGCTGACTCAGCATGTTCAGTTTTGCATCACCAGGGCCCACTGTAGGCAGCATCAGCATCTGCCATGACCCCTCACACTTGGCGTGTGTGTGTGTGGGGGGGTGTCACTACACACAATTTCCTACACACTTTTTGGCTTCTCCCATGAGCTAACCTTGGAACTCACTCTTCTAAAGTGCTGCCCCTCTCCTCAGTGTTTCATTCAGGAGGTCAGCCTGGCTCTAAAGTTTCCAGGATGAGCTACATGGTAAGACCATGGCTAGGAGGAGAGAAATGTCACATAGGCTAGTTAAGCAGAATGTTCCTCCCAACTCCAGCTAGTATGGTCCCTGGGAAAACCTCTCAGCCTGTCGATTCCAGGCTGTGACATGAGCAGAAAGGGGCACACCTAGGCATTCTGGCAGCACTGGCTGACTGAGGGCAGGCAACTCTCTATCCTCCTCTCACTGGATTGAGTTTTGCTATTCCTCATGTTCCAAGATCCTGGCACATGTGCTGTAGCATAGTGACAAGTGACACAGCAAAGTCCCGTTCCAGTGTGTAGCAAGAGCAGATTTAACAGATAGCCAGCAGCTTAGGTTAGGAAAACAATGGGGTGTGCCTCAGAGAACACAGCAGGGATGGCAAACAGCATGTGCTCAGGCCCTGAGGAGAGGACAAGCTGGCCGGTGGCCTGCAGGACCTTAGGCCTGTGAATATACACAAAGTTCAGTCTAGCTGGGTATGGTGACACAAATTTATAATCACAAGACTCGGGAAGCTGAGACAGGAGGAAATCACACACACACACACACACACACACACACACACACACACACACACACGGAGGAAGGAAAGGGGAAAGGGCAATCCAGACTTAAAAAAACCAGGAGGAAGGGGCTGGAGAGATGGCTCAGTGGCTAAAAGCACTGGCTGCTCTTCCAGAGGCCCCAGGTTCAGTTCTCAGCACCCACAAGAAAGCTCACCCCTGTCTGTAACTCCAGCTCCAGGTAATCTGACATCTTCCCACAGACACACATGCTTAATACACATAAAACAAAAAATTTTAAGCTAAAAAAAGAACAAAACCAGAAGGGACTTCTTTAGATTGGTCACCACTTCGTTTACTGGACACACGGAAAGCAGGTCTATCTGGAGTCTCCTTGAGGATTTCTGGGATCTCCCGGCCGGTGACTACCTCTATACAGAGTCATGCAGGAGTCCACCTACCAGCCACCCCCTCTCCTGCTCTCCCCTATCTTCAGAAACTGGCTGAAAGGCCACTATTTCTACAGCTTTCCATAACCCCAGGCTGGTCATTGCCTATTCCTTGATCCTTCCGCTGTAATCCTTTCAGCCCGAGTTCACACTTAGGGTTACAGAATGCAGCCCTTACACTGACCTGATCTGTAGCCTGCCGGACAGGGATTCGTGACTGTCCCTGGCCCTTCACCTCTAGGTGTGCCTGTGGGAGGCAGGATGTAATGGCAAATAGGCCACCTGACCTTTCTCTGTCTGCCTCCTCTTCCAGGAAATGAACCACCACCAAACGACCACACTGAATGCAATAAGTAAGTGGAGCGACTATATGCATAATGTTTGATGTGAGAAATTATGTGAACCACCAGCTGCTGTGCAAGGCCTAGGCCAAGCTGAGGCTTCATGCCCTTCATTCCCTTTGCTCCAAACACCTCTAAACCTAAGTCTTTCCAAGGCCCTCGGCCTTTTAACAGTTTGTAGATTCGGTCTTGCCTGACCCCTTCCCACATCCTGTCCCATCACCTGTCCCTACACACAGCAGCCTGAAGAATTTTATCTACAGTTTCTAATCCTTAGGGTCCTTGGGATGGGCAGATGGCTCAGTAGATAAAGAGCTCAAGGGTAACGACTGGGAGTTCAGATCCCCAGAACCCACCCCTGCCTGTACTCCCAGCAAGCAGATGGAGAGGAAACCTCTAGAGCAGGCTAGCTAGCCACACTAACAGAAATGGCAAACTCAAGGTTGAGTAAGAGAAGACACCTGATGTCAGCCTCGGGCCTCACGTGCATGCACACACATGCACCCACATACATGAGAAAACACATATGCACAACACACACACAAAAAAGATAAAATCTAAATAATAAAAATAAATGAAGTTCTGACTACCACACTACATACGTTTTAAAAAACTGGGCTGTCCTCAAAATTGATAAAGAGTCAAAGGTGACGCTAAACACTTCTGATCCTATACCCCACCTCCTGAGGGATCACAGGCACATGCCACCTTGCCTGCCTTTTAGTGGCTCTGGAGATGGCACTCGGGGCTTCCTGCTGGGTGATCACTATACCAACTGAGCTACCTCTCATCCCTAACCACCTACAACAGCCTGCAGGTCCCTGCCTAACCTGGGTCTGCCAGACTCACTTCATCTGTTCTGGTTGTGCTATAAACCCAGCCGTCCTAATTGTGCAGGAGTGACTTTACCCACATGGCCCCCTCAGTCTGATTCTCTACTGTTCTTGCCATTTCAGCCTTAGTTCAAAAATCTCCTCAGAAGTTTTTATCTGACTCTGAATTTGATGGGTAGGAAGGGCATGCTTTCATGACATCCTGTTTATTTCATTCAGTGCTTGGCAAAAGAAGCTACTGTCACCTCCCTAGACCTTGAGGTTCCTGAACAACAGTGATGGTGTGAGTCTGCATCCCCTCACCAACAACCAAAATTCATGTTGAAACATAAACCCCACAGTGGTGGTGGTAAGCAGTTGTTGAGTCTTGGGGACTGAAGAGATGGCTTAGTGATTATGCATATTGGCTGCTCTTCCAGAAGACCCAGGTTCAGTTCCCAGCACCTACATGGTAGCTCACAACCAGATAGAACTCCAGTTCCAGGAGATCTCCAAATGCTCTTCTGCCCCAAGAGCACACACATGATATACAGACAGACCCACAAGCAAAACACTCATACACATAAAATAAAACCTTTAACAAGAGAAGTTGGGTCTTTAGGAAAGTAATTGCCCAATCATGGGGTCTCTGAATTCGGGCCTTGTAAAAGGTGAGGAAACACTAACCTAGGCCTGTCTTGGTTTCCTTTCCAGTCGCTGTGACGAAACACCCAACAAAATTAATTTAGGGGGAAAGCGTTTACCTCAGCCCACAATTCCAGATTACATCCATCATTTCTGGGAAGTCACAGTGGTAGGAGAGAGCCAGGCATGTTGTTGCCAAAATCAAGAACAGGTAGCCGAAAATAAATGCATGTCTGTCCTTCCCACTTTTTATCAGTTTGGGGCGTGGCCCAGGAAATGGAGCTACCCACATTTAGGGTGAGTCTACCCAGCTCAATTAACGTATTAAGAGAATCCCTCAGAGCAGAGCTAGACAATTTCTTATTAGATTCCTTTCCCACATAATTATAGATTAGGTTGACAATTAAAACTAAATGGCTGGAGATTGCTCGGCAGTTAAAAAGTGCTTGATGCTTTTGCAAAGGGCCCAGGCACAGTTCAGTTTCTAAGCATCTAGGGTGGCTTATAGCTGTCTGTAACTCTACTTCAAGGGGTTCCAACATCCTCTTCTAGCCTCTGAGGGCACCTGCATGCAGACAAAACCCTCAAGACACCTGAAATTTTAGAAAGGAAATCTTAGAAAGAAAGAATGCTAACAGTCACGGGCCTTTTTCTTTTTATCTTTCTCATACTCTTCTGTGCAAGGACACAGTATTTCTCCCTTTCCTCTCTTCCTGCCATGTGGGCACATCTGGAGAGAGTTTCTATAAGGAATGGATGGATCTTGTCCTGAACTTGCCAGCATCTTCATCTTAGAATTGCCAGTCTCCAGAACTGAGAAAATAAGATTTCTCTTGTTAATGAATTTTTCGGTGGTACAAATGGACTAAGACACCAGGGAACATCTTGTTTGCTGTTTCCTTGCCTGAGGTTTAGTAGTAACCTGTTGTTATGCTTGAGGCTGGGGATGTAGCACTTGGCTGGCACTGTCCAGGACCTAGGTTCAATCCCCAGTGCTACAAATTAAAACAAAACAAAACAAAACACACAAAGTCACATTTACTGATGTGAAAGCCTCTGGGCATACCAAGGTGACGTAAACCTTGGTCTCCAGGGACTTACATTCTAAAACAGTTCTCGCACAATATGCTAGTGGAAAAACTCTCTACAGGGTATAGCTCTATCAAGATGGTGTCTTCCCTTTTCAGAACCCTTGTTAAGTCTGTAAATGGCCTTTCTGCTCTGATCTACTCAGGCTGACCACTACCCAGGTTTCCTTTTTATTCAACCATTGGAATGTTGCTTTCTCATCTCTGGCATGCAAATGCTCTGTTCCCCCTATTCTCTCTGTCTCTCTCTCCCTCTCTCTGTGCCCTTTAATATGCTCACAGAGGGAGCATCTACTTTCTCTGTGGTCAGCCTGAGAATCCTATGATGGGCCAAGACTGCACTTGCCTTTTCCCAGCCCTCAACTACAGATGACACTCATTTCTGCTGTTGAACAGGTTTCTGATTTTTGGTTGGTTTGTTTTAAAGCTCCCGCCCTTGTCCACTACAAGTGTCCATTCATTCTAGGCTTCCAGATCCCAACCTTCTCCTGGAGGCTTCCTCCTTAACCTGTGGCCTGAGATCTGGTTCTAATTAGTTGGGTTATGCCTTCTCTTAGACTGTTGTAAAATATGGTACAGGACAGTTGCTCCTCAGGCTCCTAAGAGATTCAGCTGTCTCTCCTCTTTCCTCGGCTTAGAACGTCTAGATCCTGAGGCCTCACAAGCCAAACATGCCTGCTTGACTATCCTGATCCTTAGCACAGACACGATGTTTTCTGGGGGTAGGTGATAAGGGTGGAAGAGGTCCTGGTATTTGTCCTGATAACAGCTTTAGCATTCAGAGCCCAAAAGTGCTGCAGATATTGATGCCTTAAGCCAAGCCAATACTCCACCTGAGAACTAGAGTCCGCTCTGGGGAAAGCCCGGGTCTGGCTTCAGGTGTCTGGTTGTCACAAGAGAGAGAAGGCAGCCAACTCTTCCTGGACACTTTAACCCTCTCAGACTGTCTGCTCACCTCAAAAAGTACAAAAAAAACAGCAGTAGCCTACTTTACTGGGCTTTATGAAAACTAACTTTACAGTCTATAAACACTTTAACACTGCCTGTGCCTCTCAGCGTCCTACACAAGTGAGCCATTATCTGCAGAGGATAAGAAAGGGCAACGATCTTGTCAAAGTTCACAGTGTTAGGTAACTGGAGTTAAGAGAGGAGGAAACTCCAGCTTAGGTCCAAGCCCTGTTCCAGCCTACAACCAGAAGGAACCACTCCCTGAAAGTGATGGATGCCACTCTATAACTAAATGGTTTGGATCCCCACCCTCGACCCCTCCTCCCCCGAGACGGCACCTTGCTATAATAGTTTGTTAATATCAACTAACTCTTGTGCCTTAAGCAGAGCTCCACCATGGCTTCCCGCTTTCCCCACTTTTTGGGGCAACCAAAGGGGCTCGAGGTTTCTAGGGGCAGAAAAAAGCCGACAAAAGCGCCGACTTTGGGATGCCAGAAAAAACAACCACCCCTTCTGCTGAGTGTTCTCTGCCCATTCTCCCGGCCCCAGGCTTTCCACAGTTCCCCGGGGAACAGGATCACCCAACGTGGTTCAAGCAGGACTATTCGTTTCTGGGGAAGGTGGTGCCTTTGCCCCTTGGACTTTTCCCCTTGACTGCTCTCAGAACTCCCTGGGCTTCAAGCCCCGGGAGACTCAGGAGCAGCCAGAAGTGGAGGAAGAAAGGTACGAAGAAATAGCCACCTAGCTAAGATCCACTAGAAGCTCCAGGCTGGGCTGATGCCGCAGACTGCCCAAGGTCGCGCGGCCAGACCCTGCCCGGCTCTAGGGCGGAGTCCCCCTCGGTTCCCCCAGCGAGGGCAAGGCCCTTTCGAGAGGCACTGACCGGGCTCGAGCGGCTGCCCCGCTGCCTCTGCCTCCGTCCTCATGACCCGGGTGGCGCAGGGCTCCCATGGCCCCGGCCTGGAGCTGATTGCAGCTGCGACTTCTGCTGGGCAGCGAGCGCGGCCAGCGCGCGTAGAGTCCCTCCGCCGCCGCCTCCGCGCTTCAGAGACGGGTAGGCGGAGGCTAGGCCGCCTCAAGCCACGCCCGGTCCCTTCCAGGTCTGGGACGTGGAAACCCGCCCATTCTATAAGCCACGCCTCTTCCCGTCCACCCACGTCTCCTCCATAAAGCGCTACCCCCGGGTCGAGCCCCAAAACGTTCTCCGGAAGCCCCGCCTCCTTCCGAGTCCCGCCCCCAAGGCCCTTCCTTTAGCGACGTTTGGTCCCCGCAAACTCTTGCACTTTCCCTCCGCTAGATCTGCCCCTTTGCCGCCTCAGGTGTTAGCTCTGGTCCCTCGCAATGCCTCATCCACCGAGACTCTAGGGAATCCTTTTCCGACTCCCGTTAAGTGATTAGTGATGGTCTCCCGTGCTCAGTGCGCCCCTTCCCTGAAGGCGACCGGATTGAATGCTTAAATTCCTAGTCCGAGCCTCACCTCCTGTCGCCCCAGAGCGTTGGGCTCAAGCCTAAATCCCGCCCAATGCGTCCCTGGAGTACTTTGTAAGTGTGAGTTTTTCCTTTTCGGGCTCGAGGATTGATGTTTCCGGCGGTCCTCCGGCCCTCTGCAGTGCCGGAACTATAGTGCAGGAGATCTCGTTTCCCAGCCGGCATAGTAAGAAGGAAGCGTAATTTAAGATTGCGCTCTCTCCGCTGGGGAAAGGAAAAGGAGGAGCCCCGCGCACGGCATTCTGGGAGCGCGTGGTGTTGTGGGTATTCGGGGCCCGCCATTCCCTCGCTTCACGCCTTCGCCTTCTAACGTTTGTGCGAGAACCGAAAGGCAGCCTGCAGTTAGTTGGCGAGGAAAGGCGGCGAATAGGTGAGAGGAGGCCGAGGCTCTCCTAGAGGGTTGGGGACTGGAAAGGGACGTTGCGGCGGAACTCAGCTAGTGGAGGGCGGGAAGCCGGGGCCGATCCAAACATCGTCTCCCTAGCGCTTGGAACAGTTACTAATTTACACCTAGTCTGCACGTTCTGTGCCTTTCCGGGTCACCGATTTTCGAAGCTTGCAAGCAGTCATTTTCTACCAATTACCTCCTTTCTCTCTTGACCATTATTTTCAACGTCCTTTGCACCTCTGCTTCCACTCCCATTTCGACCCTGGTCCTCATGCTTTCCATGCTGCTGCAGAAGCTCTATGTTCGATCCACGTTGTAGATGCTGCTAATTTATTTATTTATTTATTTATCTATTTATTTATTTATTTATTTATTGTCTTTGGCTATAATCCTGCAGTGTTTTCCCACCGTTCACAGCATAAAAATCCATACTCTTATTAAAGTTGGATGCTGTGGTTCCTCACCGAGAGTACGTTTAAGCATCTTTTCATGAAAGTAGGTGACGTAAGTCGTTGCCTATCTCAGAATTTAAAAAGCTCTGTACATAGTCTTTGTCTTTTAATGAGACAAAATCGAGCGTTTACCCTGATTGTTTTTCAGTGTGCTGAGCATTTCCTGTGTGTAGCATGTATCGCTTTGTGAGATCCTTGATAACTTTATTTTCACCTTTGGTGGGGAGTTAAGATGCCGAATTGAAAGCACAGCTTCTCTTCCTAGAGGTCTCTGGGTTTGGGTCTATGTGTACTATCAAGTACTGTAGCCTTTTCCCAAATTTGGTTGCTGAGGACTTGGAATATTACTAGTGTGACTGAGGGACTGATGGTTTTAATTTACGTTTTGTTTAAATAACTGCATGTAAACATCGATTAGTTTATATTCCAGGTCTGAATCATAGTTGTTTTGATGACTACAAAGCAACATATGGTTGGGATGAGAAAGGGGGTATTCTGTTAGTTTTCTTTGTCCAGCTTACCATCCTTCCCCACCTTACATGTTGTGCCAATTTGCCATGGTGGTTCCTTCAAGCCAAGAGCCTGACTCCTTCCACAGGAAGTGCAGCTCTGACATATTTGGAAAGCCTGTGGAATGTCAGTCCTTTTTAAGCTCTGAAAGATAACTGTTGTCTCTCTTTTACTATAGCACAAGAAGAGTCCTGCCAAGATGTCTATTGGTGTGCCGATTAAAGTCCTGCACGAGGCTGAGGGCCACATAGTAACGTGTGAGACCAACACTGGTGAGGTGTACAGAGGGAAGCTCATTGAAGCAGAGGACAACATGAACTGCCAGGTACCCTGCCTTGCACCTGAGGCTGTGAAGGGGCTGTGGCTTCTCTCCTGGGGGATAAAAAGGTCTACTTGGAGGTCGTGATGAAGTTACTCTCATCCAGCAGTTACTAACTGAATGTTTGACATGTGTCAGGCACTCTCACAGGCTCTGAAATTGTATGCCAATGTAGACTTAGCCCTGAGGGAGGAAAGTCATTTGACAGCCTGATGTCATAGCATGTGTATATCCCAGCACTTGGGAAGCTAAGAGTTCAAGGCCATTGTGGGCTTTATAGCAAGACCCTGTCTGTAAAACAGTTATATTGAACTTTGCTTTCTCTCTTAGAGGTCTGTCTGTCTGTCTGAAAGCAGTGGTGCTGTAGAGTTAGGTTAGAGCCAGTGTCCGTTTTCTAATCTTTAGCTCCCACATTGTGTGTGCTTGCTTTTTGTCTTGGAGGAAGTCTTATCTGATAAACTACCAAAGTTTTAGCATATGTTTTTTGTTTTGTGGTTTTGTTTTTGTTTTGTTTTTCCATTAGTTAAGAGCTTGAGCTTTGGATCAAATCAGACAGAATTCCCTGATTCCAAATTGAGTTGAATCTTAATTATATGACATTGGGTAACTTAATCATTTTGTTCTCTCCTCTGTGAATGAAGATGGAGATGTTTTGGACGCTCTGTGCTGTAAATGCTAAGACAGAGTTAAATACACAGATTGGGGAAATAGCAGTGAAGGGTAACAGAGAGCAGGAGTACATATATAATTAGTTACCTTTCGTGTTGCTGTGATCCAATTCCTGACAAACATCTTATGAAAGGAGGGGGTTGTTGTGGTTCACAGTGTGAGGATACAGTCTGTCAAAGGAAGTCATGGTGGCCAGAATTTGGGGAGGCTGCTAATTACATTGAATCTGCAGTTGAGAAGCAGAGATGAGTGCCTGGGACAAACAAGCATATCAAGTTGGGTCTCCTCACCTCAACCTAATTAGATAATACCACAAGGCATGCTTGTCCTTTCAGTAATTTTAAATCCACTCATGGCAGGTGAGTTTTCAGTCTAGGGAAAGAAAGGCAAGTTGAGCAAAAAGAGCCTTCAGACTACACCGTAATACTGAGGAAGTTTCATCCAAGTAAGAGGAGTAACAGGAGGCAGGAATGTTTCTGCTGTGATCAGTCACTGGCCGCCTGTGGGGAGGACTGCCACAGAGTGAGTGCCACAAAGTGGCAGCTGGAGGCTGTCAGCTCTATACACTCCTCCCGGCCTGTTGTCTCCTGAAAGGGTGAATGTAATATCCCAAGACTGCTACTCATATTTTGGAGTTGTCACAGAGATGACTTACACAAGCAGCGGCCAGCTCAGTGCTTTGCTGTTAGAAGGTTTTAACTGTCAGAATATATGGTGTTTGTTGCTATAGTCCAAGTGAGAAAACTAAAGGTTGGAAAGGTAAAGGACGGTATTTAGGGTCACACCTGTGGGTAGGGTGCCCTGACTGTTGCAAAGGGTTTGTGTTGGTAACTTTTCTGTGGCTGTGATAATTACTATTAGAAAGAGTTTATTTTGGCTTACAGTTCCAGAGGGATCAGTGCATCATGGCAAGGAGACATGGTAACAAGCAGGAAGCTAAGAGTTTACATTTTCAATAGAAAGCATGAAGCAAAGAAAGTAAACTGGAAGTGTTGGAGGGTGTTAATCCCAAAGCCTACTCCCAGTGACAGTCTTCCTTAGGCAAGGCTGTATCCGCCTAACTCCACCCACCAAACAAACAAATCACCACCAACTGGGGCCAAGTGTTCAAATGCCTGCAGTGATGGAGGATACTTTTCATTTAAACTGTTACAGTTGTGCTGGTTAGTTTTTGCTGTTGTTGTTTTTGTCAGTTTGACACAAGCTAGAGTTGTCTTGGAAAAGGGAACCTCAATTGTGAAAATGCCTCCATCAGATTATCCTATAGGCAAAACTATGGAACATTTTTCTGATTAGTGATTGATATGGAAGGGCCCAGCTGTGCCATTCCTAGACAGTTGTTTCTGGAAGGTATAAGAAAGGTAGCTAAAGGCTGAGCATGTTGGTGCAGTGTCTTTAATCCCAGCACCGGGGAGGCAAAGACAGGACGACCAGGCCTACATAGAGACACTTAGCTCAACCAAACCAGGCCTGGTGGCACATGCCTTTAATCCCAACACTTGGGAGGCAAAGGCAAGAGGATCTCTTAAGTTTGGGGTGAGCCTGGTCTATATAAGGAAGTTCCAGGACAGCCAGGGCTGTTAGATAGAGAAACCCTGTCTCAAAAAATCAAAACAAAACAAAAAAAAGTGTGTGTGTGCGTGTGTATGAGTTAAGTGAAATGTAGCTGAGCATGAGCCCAGAGGGCAAGTCAGTAAGTAAGCAGCATTCCTCTATGATCTCTACTTCAGTTCCTGCCAACTTGAGGCCCTGGTGTGGCCTGTAATTGGGATGTGTATGCCAAATGCCCCCCCCCCCCCATGTTACTTTTAGCTGGGATGTTATTACAGCAATAGAAAGCAAACTAAAACAAGATTTAGTTTTCTGCTGGATGGTGTATGCATGTGCTCTCTTTCTTCTCTGCTGGGGATAGAACCCAGTACCTCAGGCATAATAGGTTAAACTGTGCCATTGGCCGATTTGGGATTGCTTTTGAGACAAGATCTCTGAAGAGTCCCCGCTGGTCTTTAACACTTGATCCACCTGCCTTGTCGTCAGTTTCAGGCAGGTGCTACCCGACCCAGCTGTCAGGCTTTCTGAAGTTGTGTCCTGCTTAGTTTGCTTCTGAAGGAAGGTTGTGGGAGATGTAGCTGATTGGCGCTGTGAAGATCTGACCTTTAGTATGCCTTTGTGAAGTGACCTGTTCACACATCCAGTCCTTTTGCAGCATCTTTATTTTGGGGCATTTAGTGAGGAGAATGAAAGGTTTCAGATAGTGACTGTTAGTGTTATTGTGCTGCTTTATTTAAACTTGCTGAGGTTTAAGGGCTTCAGACAGCCCAATTGTATGTGATTTTATCTGGCTAGATGATTGTGATCTTCTCAGAAGTGCAGCCCACATGCTATGAAGCACACAGATCTTGGTGTTACCATGTTGCAACTTGGAAAGTAGTGTATGTCTTGTTTTTGAACTTTGTGTCTCCTTTGCCCTCTCTTCCTCCTAAACTCAGCAATAAACTAACAGGTCAGTGTTCATTTTGATTTACTTACAGAGTCTGTAAACATGATCACACTCTGAAGTATTGGGAATTAGGACTTCATTATTTGCTAATTTCTGCAGGGACACAATGTAGCCCATAATATTGCCCATATCAAGATAGTAAGGCTTTATCAGGTTGACCAGACCTAAGCACATTGCACAAAGATCAATAGGCTGTATAGAGCACAGTCCATCAGCATGTGAGCAAGCGCTCATGTGTCTCTGGGACTGGGATGGCTCCTGCAGGCTGTCTCCTTCCTGGCCCTACCTAGTCCTTTAGAAATGAGGGCACCCTCCCAAACACCTTCCCTGTGGAACATTTTCTTTGTAAACTTGGGGCAGAGTGAGGCATGGTAGTACATGGGTATAGTCTGAGCACTTGGGGAAACTGAGGCGGAAGAATCATCACCACAAATTGAAGGCAAGCCTGGACTTTGTGATATTAACACATGGCAAAGATTTGGGAGCATGGGAGGATTCTGTTACAACCATTGCTTTCCCTGTTTGTGTTGACATAGACTTCTTTACCTGTGTTACCTGTGTGTTTTAATTAGAGATGGCTTAGAAAGTTTATGCAGTAGGATATTCTTTTTGAAGTGCCAGTAATAGAATTTCCAAGTACTCTCTACTCGGCTGTGCCCCTATTCCATTTTGTGGTAGCTTCAAAGTAGGAAATGGTCATGGTGCCAGTAAACTTGATTAGAAAGCCAGGTAACTAGTAGACTATTAACCTGGATTCCCATGCATCTATTAAAGGTGCATTCAGGTGTGAGGCCAGGCAGAAGGAAATTATTTGAGGTACATGAGAATCAGATTTCTCTGGCATTCAGATACAGGAGATCCTATTAAATGGTGTTCTTAGGTGCTGGAGAGATGGCTTAGAGGTTGGGGGCACTGACTGCTCTTTAAGAAGCCCTAGGTGCAATTGTCAATGCCTACATGGCAGCTCATGGCCACCTATGACTCCAGGGGATCTGGTGTCCTCTTCTGTCTCCTGAGGCCACCTGCACACTTGTGGTGCACATCCATATGCACTTGTATTAAATAAGTGTGTAAATATGTCTTTCTTTTTTAATGGTGGTGTTACCAACATTACTGTAATATCTGCTGCCTTTTAGGGTCCCAAGAGCCTTGGCACTTGCTAAGAAAGTATTAGTCCACTGAGCCACATACCTAGATCTTGGTTGTTTTAACATTGCTTGTTGTCGCATATTTGTGTCATTGCTTTCAAACATGGCTGCTTCCTTCCACAAAATAACTTCACCTTCATTGTTTGGGATTAAAGGCTTGTACTACCATGCCTGAACCTAAGCTTTTCTTTACTTGAAACTTGCTCTATACCAGACTGTCCTTGAACTCTGCTTGCCTCTGTCCCCTGGGTTAAAGGTGTGTTTGTATTCCAGCCAGATCACACAGACCTAGAAGGTCTTTGGATGTAATCTCTTGCCAGAGTAGTGATGTTCTGAATTAAAATCCCTCTGCACAAACCTATTTAAAGATGAAAAATGCATTGACTCCTATTTCTACCTCCCAGAGGTTTTGTGATTACAAGTGTGTACTATCATGACTCGATTTATACTTTTTACTGTATGTTGCATTCTTGACCATATTCCAGGATGCTAATACTGGGGACATTGTACAATCTTTTATGAGGGAAGGTTAGTGTATTATCCATATAGTTTTTACACATCAGTATGTCCTTATTGATAATTATGTGATAAATTATTACTTACAGATCACATTAATTCAACTTTGAAAACAAAGTTAGTAATGCTGCTGAAGGGGTCTTGGCTGTGCTGTGCTGCCAATTAGTATGTTC